TGTGGAACACTATTTGAAAGGATTAAAGATTAAGCTCTTTAAAAGTAAACAGAAGATTTACAAAGTGAATTTATTTGATTATGGTTAATATATACGTTGAGGTTTTTGGTAAGTTATTAACAGGATCTTTTGCTGACCAGGATTGAATGATGAGGTTTAATGATCTGTGTATAAAGGGGGAGAGATTTCATTTGCTTTTTTTTTTTTTAAGAGAAAATGATGAATTGGATTATAAAATGGATTTATTTTTGACTAAGGTTAAAATATATTTGTTATTAAATTTATGGAATTTTTGTTCTTGTATATGATAATAGCAGTAAGGTTTTTATATGTACAAAGGTGGAAGGATATGACACTACCTACAATGGAAGAATGGATGGTGAAGCTGATGGAGCTGGCTAAGATGCTGAAATTAATGGCTTTGATTTAAGAAAAGACACTGTATAATTTTAATGTTAACTGGAAAGGTTTTGGGGGGGATTTTCTGCGGGAAACAGGAAAAAATGAATTTATGTTTTATGGATTTGATTATTAGAAATAACATGGGTTTATAGTAATAATGAAAGTTATGTTGTAAACGCAGAGCAAGAGATTGATGTATACTGTTACTTATAACTGTTGTGAGGAGGGTTGGAAGTAAATTCTTTTTCTTATCTTTTTCTTTTCTTTCTTTCTTTTTTTTGCGCTTTTGACCTTGGTCATTCTTTTTTCTAACTTTCCTTTCTTTTTCTTATTTTCTTCCTTTAATAGTAATTTTTGTTAGTTTTTACTGTTTCTATTTTAAAATTTAATAAAGTTATTTTTTAAAAAAAGAAAATATAAGAACTGCCATCATAAAATTGATTAACAAATTTAGCTGAAAGAGAGGCAAGTTTAATTGGTAGAGGTGATAGGTATTTTGCTCTAGAACAGGACATCCAACTGTAGTATTGCAGAATATACTAGTCATACATTATCAAAAAAGCTCAATAGTCTGAGGATGGAGCCAACTACATATTACAGTTTAAGAATGAGTTCCATTCCCAGGGCCTGTCCTTAAGTCAAATCTGTATATAAGCCAGAACAATATTATTGTATAATAAGACCTGCCTCTGCCAACTTGCATGGGGCGAGAAGAGAGGCAACCAACCCTGGGGGTGGCCAGCACCTTGAAGATGTTCCTGTAGGTTAATATCCTTATCTACCAGCAGTACCTTAGAAGGTATTATTATTTATGTATGTATATGGGTTTTATTGTATTTTTATTGTATTTTAATTAATATTTATTTTTGTTTTTACTGTAAACCACCCAGAGCTACTCCCTAGTGAGATGGGCCGTGATCAAATTTGAAATATAAGCAAAAATATAAATAATACTGTATAACTAGTATCATGTAATGAACTCAAACCATTGTGTATTTAACTTGAATCATGGTGTATTTAACTTGAAATTTGCTACAATAGGCTATGTTCTTAACTATGGGTTGTCTGTAACCCGGGCATTCTTAACCTGGGGACTACCTGTATTTTGACCATCACAAGGTCACAGAGGCAAATCCAAAAGAGCCAGCTGAGTGAACAGATTTTTGCTGGAGTGATATGAAAGAAGCAAGCTTTGTTTCCTTCATCTAATATCATCTCATTAATTCCACACTGCGGTGCACACAGCCCAGCATTTAAGCTCATGGTTTCTCCTGAAGATCTGAAGCAGCAGTAAGGATTAAACAAAAAGAAAAGACTTGAGAGTGTCCAAAGAGATAAAATTGGTATGTTATAGATCTGCCCAAGTAATTAAGTTTGCATTTCTTTTAAGGTGCCCACATTCTACCATTTCATCAAGATATTTAAAAATGCTTATAAAAATTTGTGACATACTATTTATTAACATCAATAACGATAACAAACAAAACATAGTAGCAGCTGCTATTATTATCGTTGGACTAACTTTGCATTAAAATCCCTTCATACCCCAAAACCCAAAAAGTTTACTTTGTGTTCTGTTCCTGTGGTAAGCAGGAACAGAATTAAAAACTGCATCCATCAAAGCTGTTAACAAAAAAAAAAATCTTATACTTGTCACAGAAAGTGACTTCCTAAGGAAAGGAGCTTTAAAGGCAGTGTAAAACTGCATAGTCTAAGAAT